GGCGGCGGCGGGCCAGCCCGGTACAGCCCGGCGACCCGGGAGCTGCTGAGAGGTAACGGCGGAGCGGGGCTGAGGCCCGGTCAGGCCGTTCGGCCTCCCCGTACCCCGCTCACCGCTGGAGCGCCGGGATCCGGCCGGTCCTGCCCCCGCCGCGGGGGAGGAACCCGCGTCCAACCCCGGGGGAACCGGGCGGCCTGAGTCTTCTAAACCTCCATCTTCCCCTTTGGGTTTGGGTCGTGAGGTGGGGAGAGGGAGCGGGGGGGAGGATGGCCCCGGTGCCGGTTCCCCGGCCCCTTCCCGCTGCCGTCTTCAGGTAGACGTCATGTTTTTCAGCGATGATGGAGGAATCGAAGCTGACGCCTTTCCAGAGGCGATACCTGATGGACCGCGTGAAACGTGAGTGACGGCCCTCTCGCCTTCATGTCCCACCTTGAGGCAGCGGCGTTTGCCCAAAAACACGGGGATGTCCGGGAGCAAGGTGTCCCCAGGGGTCATCCAGGGAACGGGACGTGATGGCGTGACTTGAACGGCAAGCGTGTCTCGTGTCAGCGCACACCAACAACCAGCACGGACGTCTGTGGCACTCCTGGGGTCTTCGCTTGCAGTGCTACGGTGGATCAACAGGCAGATCTGCTGCCAGCGGTAGCTTGGGGCCATCCACCCCGGCTTCTCTCTTATCTGACCTACCGTTATTTTTGGTTTGTTCTCCAGGAGGAGACACCCTGCCCCTCCAGTGTCACCCCACATCCAGCAAAGAGCCAGCGCCTGCAGCGCCTGCTTTCTTCCTGCCAGTTTGTCAGCCATGCAGGCTTTCGGCGAAACCGCATCTCCGACCTGCCGAGGTTTGCCAGGCAGGAGATGCCTACACCCGAGAGAAATTCAAGCCACGGGCGAGGCGTAAGTCAGCAAACACTGCTAATAAATAAATAAACGCCACCGCCCGCTCCTTCTCTTCCCCTTACATCCATCCCCTGCCTGCAATCTCAGTAGTGGCAGGGAGTGTCTTAATTGCTCTTTGTCCTCACATTTTCTGTCTTCAAAGATGCTTTAAGAATGGATGTCTGAGGGAACATCTACTGTAAGCACTCGCTGACTTCTGCCCACTGGCTGGGAGGGTGACAGGCAACAGGGACTCACGCAGCCCTTGCGTAAGAGGGGAACGCTGTGTAATTTTCTAGTTTATAAATGTGAATCAAACCTCTGATGTCAGTTTGGTTGGCTCTGTATGCCTGTGCAGTGCTTGCGCAGTTCAGACTGGGCTGTTGTTAACGTAACGCTTCCTCTGGCATCGTTAGCAGGGAAGCGGTGTGGCCAGGCTCCTCTCTGAGGAGACAGGCTGATAATAATTTTTTTTCCCCTTGGCATTCACAGGAGATTTGGCAAAGGAGAAGCAAAGGCTCCAAAACATCTTAGCAACAGGGAAGGATGTGGTGGAGCACAAGGTGAAGCAGATCCAGGGTCAGACAAAGGAAGAGGAGATACCTGAGCCTGACCGGTTTGAAGAATGTACGTCTTCACGTAGCCCGGAGGAAGGCAGGCAGGAAGCCTGGGAAGGGCTGGGGTGGCAGGCCATGTTGCCGGTAACCTGAAGCCCGTTGTGGAAGGAGGCACAAAGCCCAGTTTCCAAGAGAAAGGACTGGCTGCTCTGACTTTGTGATCCAGCCGTCCTCGCAGAGCTTACCCTGCAGAGGTTTGCTGGCAGATGCAAGCTCCCTGGGCTGCCTGCACAAAATGAATTCCGCTGGCGGGGAAATCCCCTGGGGACGCGCAGGGTGACTTGGGCGGGAAGCCCAGGTACTGCAGGTCCTTTTTCCAGCCAGCGTAACTCAACATAGACTAGGACACTTGCCAGCCTGACCATGGTTTGGGCTCTGTTTTCTTTCGCTCCAAGATCAGAGCAGTTACACTAGGAAAGCTTAAATGTCAAGCAGAATTTTAAGCAGTGAGGGACTTTGGCCTGCAGAGTATTCTGGGATGGCAAAACCCCACCTAATACCTCTCTGTGCTTGAATCTTCAATGTGTGTGTACACCCCAGCTGGCCCTTCGCTAGTGAGGGCAGCACAAAGATGGACAACGCTAGAATAACGTGTACAGGAGGGGTGCTTTGGTCCCTGCTGCAGGGAAGCCAGCGCAGCTGGCTTCATGCATGCTTTGTATCCTCTAAAACGTGTTGCAAGCTGAGTGCTGTCCTTGACACATCTGAGATACCCATGTACTTTGTACTGTGGCAAGATTTGCACCAGCTGGCTGCAGGTCTGTGCTGCAAAGCGGCAGCTAACGCTCGTGCCTGTGCTGGTCCTGGGACCAGAGATGGTTGCGGTCACCGGGTGATGCATGGCAACTAACAAACCTCAACAGCTTTAAGCAGGTTCTGTTTCCATCCACAGTCTGGTTAAATTGCTCACAGGCAACAGAGAATTGTCTGTACAAATTAAACTAGAAAGTCACCATTCCAGCAAGATGGGAAGTGGCAAGAAGATGGGCAGGGGGGACATTTCCCTTTGCGGAAGGGACTACTGAGGTATTTTGATGGCATGCACGAGACGAGTGTTAGAGCAGACATCACCCTTCCCCTGGTGGGACCGCCGTTCAAGCAGAGCTAGGAAATTGGGAGTTCAGATCCAGACAGAAAGATGTTTTCTTGCTTTTTGGTCAAATCCTGTTTCCACAATGTTTTCTCTTATCCGTCAGTGGTGAATGAAATTCAGGAGAGGAGGGAATTCCTGGCAGAGATGGAAGCTCTAGGACAGGGCAAGAAGTATCAAAGGATTGTCCTCACTGAAATCTCACAGGTATGCAAGGGCCCTGGCAGCACTGATCGTACAGTACATGGAAGGCATCCCTAGTGTCCAAGACCTTAAAGCAGACTCTCCTCCGACACCCAAGGGGTAAGGGGGCAGAGAACTGAGTGTTTCCCTTCATGGCACAGGACAGGTGTGAATTTGGGGAATGTGAATTAGAGGTTTTTAGCCTTTCTATCTCTGCGTGTAACTTAATCAGGGAAATAGAACTTTTGTTCTTGGGACTGGCAAAAGAAGAAAAAAAAAAAAAAAGCTGCTGGCTTTCTCCCTGTTCAGCCCTTCCCCTTTGTACTTTGCAGAAAATGCGTGAGATGGAGATCATTGACAAGAAGAGAAGTGAGGAAATGAAAGAGATCATGACAAAAGACTTCCCTGGTGGGAACAAATCCGATCCCCCCAACTAGGCCGAGGGAAAAACACAAGTGCAATTTGTTCCCACCTCTTCTTCCCAGACTCTTGGCATTGGAGTCTCAAGGGCTCTGTCTGTGCCTGTGCCCGAAGAGGGGGCAGCACCACCTGTTGCCTAAAGCCAGAAGGCAGGAGCAATCGGTACATAACTGGTGACAGAAGAAAGCTGTTGTAAAATCACCTACCCATGCACCGGATCCCTTCTTTCTTAACGATATTAAAAGAGACAAAACCACACAGCAGTGGCTACTGAAACATGACAAAGCAGAGCCTCCCTTTGTTTATGCAGTGCTTCAGAGTACAGCGACCCATCGATAAAAATGTCACTTCTTTTCCATCCACCCAGAAGTGGAGGTTTCTCCTGACATGATGCTAACACTCGTGTTGCCACCCACATCTGTGACCCCTTCCTGCCCCCACGACTCTGGGATCGGCTGTGCTGGCAGACGGCAGGGAGGAAGATGCAGCCGCGTGGCCTTGCGCAAACAACGAGCCTCCGGCATTGCTGCAGGTCAGCGTGACTGTGTGCATCATCAGCAAACTTCTCAGCGGCAGCTGAAATGGGCAGGCGCTCAGGGAACACAGCTGTACTGAGGAGGGAGAGGGGATTTCAGCCCAGCGCATGCTGCTTTTTGCTGCTGGCTTGCTGTGGTTTTTTGGTTCCTGAAAGCCTGGTATGCAGAATAGCCATCGGTCTCCCACAGAGCCTGGAAATGACTGTTTGCTCACCTCATGCATAATCCCCGCCTCCGTCCTCCAGCAGGCTGAAGCATGATGCCCTGCTATTTCTGCATAAATCCCAGCATAAAGTCCACCTCCCAATTTCCTTAAGATCCCATCATCTGCTTCTTAGCAATACTCTTGTCAGCCACTCTCCAAAGCCAGGCAGCATGCCCTGTCCCCAGGACAGCGCGAGTGCACAAAGGAAATCAGAAACCTAAGCCATGATCGGTTTTTAAATCCAGCGTTTTTTATTTCTGTTCAGGTGAATGGAAGTCACGGAGTTAGTACAGTATAATTTACAAATCAGAGTTCTGACCGGGCGCGGGGCCAAGCGGTGTCAGGCTGCAGCGATCCCGATGGCCTTTGGCAACAGTGACGCGACAGCAGGCTCTAAAGCAGATGTGTTTCTCCTTGGAAAATAGCTGTGCTTTGGGATCTCCCCTCCCCTCCCACTGCTCCTCATCAGCCTGCTGGAGTATGGCAAGAGTGAGATGGCGTCACCACCGTGGGGCTGAGCTTGCCACCTCCCAGCCACGGGGGCCACGCTGGGATTGAGGAGGGACTGGGGTCCCTCAGGTTTTGGGAAACAAGGATCCCCTTCCAGAGTGCTACGCCAGCCACCTTGCAAGGCACTGCTCTGAGAGTGTTTTGGCTAAAGCCTCTTGGGTTTTTAGAAGGGACTGCAGCAGTTTGCTTGGGGCTGGTTATGTCTAATTTGCTACTGAGAAGGCATGACGAACAGCTGACCAACCAAACACCCTTGTAACTCTAATTCAGACCGATCCAACAATTCAATAAATAGCTCCTCGCCTTGGAGGAGAAGGCAGGAAACAAAAATGGAAGGAAGAAGGGATGGTTGGAAGAACACTGCCCCCCCATTCCCTCCTCCAATGTACACACACGCACACACACATGACAAATAAAATAAGGGGTTTAAAAAGTTTTAGGGTGGGTTTGAATTCATCCAGTAAAGGAGGTGTAAAAAATAACCAGCCAACCCCTGCACACTTTAAAAGTGTACACAGATAAAGCTGAGTAAAGGTCAGTTGTGACCACGCCTCTCTCCCCAGCTGCTCAAGGGTGGCACTGGTGAGCAGGGGCACAAGTTTCGTGCCCCTTGCCGGCACTGAGTCAGTCTTGAGCTTTTCTGCCCTTGCCTGGAAAAGGAACGTTCCTCCCTCCCCCCGAAGGCAACAGAGTCAGCGGTGTTTAGCAGCAGTGGGGGGTAAGATGTCCTGAGTATGGCGCGTGAGCTACGTCCTAGCAGCTGTACACCGTCCCCTTGGGTCCTCTCAGCCCTGTAACGGAGCCCACCCAGCCCTGGCTCGCGAGGGAGGGGACAGCTCAAAATAAATAGGGCACCAGTTATTTTTTTGGCTATGGCTCTACAGCCTTGTGATGCGGGAGTGTTTTCTTAACATTTTTAGTTTAGGCCAGTAAGACCCAAATAATCCTGATTCTAATGCCAGAGCTTTCTCCTAAGTTAAAAAATGGGACAGAAAAGGGACAAGAGCGGGTGGGCTGGGAGGGACAGGCAGGTCCAGTCCCTTCCCGGCAGAGGTCGGAGGCACGTGGAACTGTCACAGTTAGAGCGGGAGAAGGGACGGGGGGCAGTTAGTGCAAGTGCAACACCAAACTCCTTGGCTTGCTTCTCAGTTAAGAACACGCAATGGGGTAACGTATCCAAAAAGCAAATCCATCTTCTCCCCGCCTCGTTAGCAAGGCTTCATGGAGGGGACAGTCAGGCTCCTCCACAGCCTTGGGAAGGGGAGCGCTTTGGTCGGACTCCCCCACTCCGGGCAGAAGGGCTGGCGTCTCCCTGGGACGGCAGCTCCGGTGCCTGGGGAGGGAGTGGGGGGAGAGGCGAGGGGAGCGGAGGAAGACAAGCCCCCCTTCCTGGCAGGTGTCCCAGCCAGCTGCAGAGAGGCCAGGGCAGTTGGGCAGCACATCCCTCCCACTGCTGGTGTTCCCCTGCTCTAGCTTTTCTCCTTTGGCGACTTGCTCTTGGAGTCATGCTTGTTGCCCAGCAGCTTAAGCACCTTCATGGGCTTGAATTTGCCTTTCTTCTTGCTCTCGGTCTCCGTCTCCTTGTGAAATTCTGGGGTTGCAAAGGGAGGTTGTTACTGCAGGGTGCTGATGGTTGGACACGCACGCATACACACACGCATGACAACAAGGGCAAGGGCGAGAGCCGTGAATCAAAGCCCTCCACTCCATGCACACTTCTTCCTGTGATAACAGGGGTGCGCAGCACAACTGTGCCCCAAACTTTAAACGACCCTACAGTAAAGGCTCCAGAGTCTACACAGAATAGATTCAAGCTCTCCTTCTGCACACAATTTCATGAATGGCTTATGCTGTCCCTCACTGGGGTCAGCAGTGAGAACATCACTCCAAAAATCTCCCCAACTGTTTCTTACCTTTCCTTTTAATCATGGCTTCCAACATTTTATCCTCCTCCTCCTCTCTGAAAGAAAGAATGGGAAATAGGTCAGCAATTCAGCCCTGAAAACAGCTGCTGTATTGTTTAAGGCTAGAGAACCTCCTACTTAAAAGCCACGGAGGGGCAGATCCATCACTGTCTTGTGAGCATTTGCTACCAGCAGGATAAATCCCATGTGCTGCACCTACTGCCCTGTCTTTCCCACACAAGGCATTCAAATAGGCAAGAATTGGGAAGCCTGGGAAAGACATCAGCAACAGAGACGTCTTGGGACACCGCCATGAGCTGTTCGTGTGATGCTGAGTCAGACAGGCTATGTTTTTCCCCTCTCCCCCAGCCCACCCCACTCCTCACTCACCTCTGCCGGTCCTCATCCAGGCAGTTCACAATGGCGTTCCTCTGCTCAATGATGGTCACCAGCTCCTGCATCAGCACCTTCTCCCTCCCTCGGTCCTCATCGGTCCAGTCCTTCTCTACCAAGCCAAATCCCGAGGAAGGACAGGCAATTAAATGGTTGAAGGAGCTCTGAAATTCAGAGCTTTGGGGCAGAGATCCCCTAGCACGATCCCCTGCTACCCTGCCATGCTGCAGGGCCAGTTGGGCTAGCAGTGCTGTGGAGGGAGAACCCTGTAGGTGGCATCCCATGGGGACAAAAGGAGCACTAGGGCATGCAGTGAGACTGGAGAGCAGCTCTAGAGCCAGCTGATTGCGCTGGCATCCCTAAAGTTCTGTCTCTCTTCACCTGAGACCCACCTAGACAGAGGGGAGATGATGCCCAGGGGAAAAATGGAGGTAACTGCATCCAGAGCGATGCTTTACCTGGCTTGTTGAGAAGGCAACGCAGTTCATACTCCACGTCTGACTGCCGCTGCTCCAGGTTCTGCTGCTTGAAGCTGCAAGGGAAGGGGGCACTGCTGGGAACAACTGCAAGGGTCCAGAGAGGCAGAACATCATCCCAAGGTATGGGGTGAGCTTAGAAAGAACCGCCAAGATGCTGATCTTATCCTGTATAGCCAGGGAGCCAAGCACCAGCAAGGACCAGCCCTGGCTACTCAAGGCCTTCCTGGAGGAGATGCTACAGGGCCTCTGGTGATTTGCAGTGGGTCAGTTCCGAGTGTATTTTGATACGTTTGTCTGCTTGCCCTCTTTCCCTCCCTTCTCCAGGCAAGGAGGCTGTGTCAGGCTCTCCCCTGGAAGCACAATTTCAGGAGGGCTGAGACAGGACTCCCTGCAAGAGCATCAGTGCCTCCCCACACGCTTGCACACACTTACATGTAGATGAGCTCTGATTCGTGGCGCACCAGCATGTGCTTCTCATGGATGAGTTTGAACCAGTCCACCAGCAGGCTGTCCTCAGGGCTGTCTGCCGAGCAAGGGGACAATTCAGAGCCATCCCCAGCCCTGCAGGATCCCTGCAGCACAATGGGCTCTGCCACACCAGAAGGGCACTGGGCTAGAGCCAACCTGACCTCAGCCTGTTCCTGAGCCCCAGAGAGACCTTCTCTCTCACCTGTTTCCACTCTAGGGACATCTCCATGTCCAGGGTATGGCTGCAACCATTCTTGGAGCCCAGCACAGCCCCTTGTGCTCTTCCAACCCCAGCATCAACAGGAAGCCACCACTGCTATCTCCTTGGCTGGACACAGGGCAGCCCTAGGGTCCATCCTGCCCCACACCCGCAGGCAGCCCACCCCATGTACCATTCTCAGCACTGCGAAGTTTTTCCTCCAAGGCCACCCCACGGTGCTCCAGCTGGTCCAGCTGGTGCTCGATGGCATCCATCTCCCCATAGATGTCTTCCTCTGGGATGTACTGATCTGTCTGCACCTGCCAAACCACAAGGCAGAGACTTCCATTACCACCAACTTCCAGTCTCCAGGGGTAACCCAAGGGCTGGTCAACACTAACGGGGGTGGGGGGACAACAGAACACTCCACCTAAGCATGGATCCAAAATCCCCACCCCACTGTGGAGCAAAGGGAGACCATGGTGCTGCCATCAGCGCAGTCTAGCCTAGACACCATCCTCCCCAGCCACAGCCACCTGCTGCAATCCCTACCCACACATCCATCAACAGGGTGCATGTATACAGCTACGGCCCTGGAGGATAGTACAGAGCTGGCTTTTTTCCCCCCTGCTCCCAACGGCCCTTTTACCTTGCGTTTGATCAGTGGGAAGCCATGACCCGGTGCAGGAGGACGCACTGGCTTGGAGCCCTTGGGAGGTTTCTTTGCGGAGGGGGAGGCGGCAGGCGATGGCTTTCGGTTGAAGGGGTTCTCTTTGCAGGAAGACTGGAGAGGGGGGACAAAAGGAGATATCTGAGGGTTCAGGAAAGGGAAGGGATATAACATCCCAACAGTGGGGACTGAGCAGACAGGGCAACCCTAGGGTTCATTCTGCCCCACACCCTTCTAGAGGAGGAACACAACGCTGATCACCAGCAGCCTAGCCACAGGGCAAAAACCAGGTGTGCTCCTGTTTGGCATCAGTTCCCCAGCTTCTTTCTAACAAGCATGCTGAATTATTTTCCTTCACGGTTCCCTTCCTATTTGCTCTGACCACACGATGCCCTGCCTCTTCTCTAGCATGCAGGGTGGACAGAGTACAAGCAGAGCCACCATTTAACGAGCACGTGCCTGAGGCTTGCTTTTAGGGGGTCACATGAGGAGACCTAAGGGACAAGCCTGGACTCGTGATCCCCACCGTAGCTGAGTGATGGATGGGGAAGAAAAGCCCCCTGATATGGATGGGAGGAAGGTCACCATCTCACCTTCAGTTGTGGCTTGGGTGAGGAGGGTGTCTTAGGGCTCCCAGCACCCCCATCTGAAGCCAAGAGAATGGGTGTAGGGCTAGCCCCAGCAGGAGGTTTGGGGGGCAGCCGGCTGGGGCTGGTCTTCAAGCTGCTGGTGGAGATGCTCCTGCTGGCATGCGGGGTGCTGGGCTGCGCCTCCGCACTGAAGCTGGCCAGCTCACTGGAGGAGGAGAAAGAGGAGTTGGTGGAGAGGCTGGCTGGGGCAGCAGGGCTTTCGCTGGAGGAGACGCTGGCCAGCGGTGTGTCAGTGCTAGAGGTCTTGGTGGCCGTCGGTGTGTGGACAGTAGGCTCAGAGGAGCTTTTGGGCACTGAGGCCTCATCGGTGTCACCCAGCACCTTGGCTGAACTCTCAGAGTTGATGCTCTCGAGGCTGAGGGCTGGAGATGGGGTGGAAGATGATGGCTCGGAGTGTGACAGCCTGGAGATGGGGTGGTGGGCTGCAAAGCAAAGGGAGAGCTCAGGGAGGACCCGGGGGGAGGCAGCCAGGAGAGAAGGGGAGAGTGGTATATACTGGAGGCAGGGGCAAATGCAAAGGGAACCAGTGTCTGTCCATCTCCAGAGAAGACAGACGGGACCCTCCAGCGCTAAGGTTTTGCCTGCAAATGCTGTGCTCCAGTGGCCAGAGAGGACATGGCTAGCGCAAGTCCCAGCACAACCATCACTGTATAAAGGCCTGGCCTGCCAGGGTGATGCAGAGGTGCCTGGGAAGAGGGAGCCTCCAAGGGGCCGCACAGGGGTTGTGGAGGAGGGATAAGAGAGTGGGGACAAGCTCACCTAGTGGGGAAGCACTGGGGGCTCGAGGAGCTGGCCGCTTCTTCGCCTTTGGGCTGCTGGTGGGAGTGATGCCGTACCAGGGGTGGAGAGGCTTGGCAGCAGTCTCGCTCTGCTCCTGCTCAGGCGTGCTCTTTTGGGTGGCAACACTCTCCTCTTCCTCCTCGTCTTCCTCCTCAAAGGGGTTGTACGGTTTGGGCTCTGGGGCATCAGACCTGCTCTCCTCGCTCCTGCTTTTCCCCACCTCCTCCCCATCCTCCTCCTCTGAAGTCCTACTCGGAGTCTCATGGCTGCTGCCTGGGGGAGGAGGGGGAGCTGGCTTCTTCTTGGGCTCCGCTTGCACCAAGGCCATCCACGGTGGGTCCTTGGCTCTCGCAGCAGCTCCAGCACTGGGAGGAGAAAAAGAGAGATCGAGGTGGCAGGGAGCAGAGGCAAGCTGGGATGGTGAGGCACAGGAGAGGGATTTAGCCCTCAGGGGAAAGGACAGATGGAGCAGGATGTCTCCCATGCAGAAGCAGCTTTCTCATCCAAGGGTGGCCCTAGTCTTCCCCAGACACAGTGTCTTGTTCTCTATGGGCAAACCTATGAGCCTGAGGGAAGCACAGCCTGCCTGACTTGCCCACTGGGCTCAGGATTTTGGTTCCTAAATATTACAGCCTCCCTCTGCTAAAGGCTGAGCTTTATGAGCACAGCTGTTCTCCCCTCCCCAACACCGTTCCTACACCCAGCTCTGCTCCCCAGGCTGTGGATGGAAGGGAAGTCAAGATCAGATATCTGCCCTCTGTGGTCACGCTCCCTTCCTACACTTCAGAGGGCTGTTTGTCACCTTATCATCTGAGCATCCCAGGGATGTCTTTGCTAACTCCCGCAGCTGGAAGCGCCGCTGCTCCTCTGGGGGCACAGCCCACAGCAAGCCTGCACCATGGCTCAGTGAATCACCGCTCATCAGGAAAGCAGCCATCACCTGCCACACGCACCCAATCCTTGGCTGTGGCAAATGCGGGGTGCTTGTGCAACCTTTGTTCCACGAGCAGGCAAAAATGAACCAACACCAGCGGGCTCCAGCGTAAGACCCCAGGAGGTGTAAAGTTTGCAGCCAGGCCCTCACAATGCCCCTGCACTGGACCTTTCCCGGGACAAACCCTCCACAAGGCAGACAAAGTATCCCCTTCTCAGCGCCCACAAGCAGGGCCATTTCAGAAGGCATTTGGCCATCTGCATGTGCCACAGAAACGCCTTTCTAAAGCCTGCAAACTCTACAAATCCCAAGAGACAAAGACCCTGGGAGGTACAGACAAACACTGTCAGCCTGACTGTACTGGGCTGGCACCCATTAGGTAAGGGAAGAGACCTGATGATAGCCTATATCCTCCTAAGAGCAGGGGCTGACAGAGGAGGTGGGAGAGGAGACCACAGCTGAGCAGTCCCCACAGCCCGACCTCACTATGGGGTTTGCAGGTGATCTGTGAACAGAAGGACGTACCGATCAGAGGAGCAGGGTCTCCCTCGGGGTTTTGGGACAGGGGGGCTGGGTTCAGGTACCCTACCTAGAAAGACACAGGGTCAGACTGTCACAACACCAAAACGACATGAAGAAAGAGATTAAATCAACACGAGGCACCTCTTGCACATCTCCCCATGGGAGGCTGGCTATTCCCACTCTCTGAAGACCTCGTGGCGTTTCTCCCACAGTCAGTGCAGTCAGTCAACTGCAAATATCCCTTTTTGCCTTTTTCTCTCCACCCCACCCCGGGAGCTGCACCTGGAGAACTGACATGCCCCTCTGTCCCCACATCTGCAAACTGCTCTAGGACTGCCACCTCCCCTCCATACTGGCAGCAGCCCCTGGAGAGCTCTGGAAAAATATAAGGGAGCAGGCAGGTGTGAAACCTAGCACTGCTCTCCCCGCTATGGGGATGGCTGGCAATCGAAGGCTCGGTGTCTGAGCCTTCGATTTATTTGGAGGCAGAAGGGTATCAGGCTGCAGAGAAGGAACGAAATTCGTCCAACCTGCAGCCGACCACCTTGGTCCCTGGGGAGGCGGAGGGTAACCCCTGCCACCACTGTGCTCTCTTACCGTTCATCATGCCAGGTCCACACTCGCTGCCCTCGCCCTGGAGGGTGGACCTGGGCCGAGGGACAGGGTGAGAGGTTGGAGGGGAGAGGGCTGACAGATCGGTGGCCCTCCTTGGGGCAGGCGTGGGCCGTGTGTCTCTGAGCCGTCCGTCCAGCGAGCTGCCTTTGTCCTGGGTGAGCGTTGTGGGCTTGCTGGGAAGGGGAGGTCTGGGGGGAGTTTGGGAGACGGGTGCCCCACTGCCTGCGTGAGGAGGGGGCATTGCTGTCTCTGCTTTGCTGGATGTGCTGTTCTTCTCTGCTGGGCCATCTAGCCCCTCTGCAGGCATATGGGTCTCTGCCGTACTCTCCAGTGAGTCACCGTCGTCCTGAGTCACTGTCACCTCTGCTCCTGTGGGAAGGGCATCCTCACACACGCTGCCAGCCCCAGTTTCAGTTCTTAGCTCTGGTGACCGTCGGTCTGGGCTGGGCCTCCTCTCTGCCTTCCCACTCACGGCCAATTTACCACGATGCTGCGTGCAGACAAAAGTTCCTGCCTCTGACCCGGGCTTGTATGACCCCGGGAGCAGCGTGCTGGAGCACTCCTTACACCTGCCAATGAAAAGAGAGAGCCCCATGAGATGGGGGATGCCATCCTGCCCCTCAGGGAAGGCAACGCACCTGGAGGATCCTTGCTGGACCGTGGAGTTAGTTCCCACCCCTGCTACTAAATCCTAGTGTGGTTTGCGGAAGTGACTGGGGAAAGGAGAGGAACAGAGAAACATCACCGTGCCACTGTATGAACCCATGGGGAGTTCACAACTCAAATCCTGCACGCATTTGGGTTCCTCCTTCAGCTCAGAAAGGTTTTAATAGATGTGGAAGGGCAACAGTTGGTATTGGGATACAGCATGGTTTCCAGACCTGGAAAAGTAGAAATCCACAGTTTTCCTGGAAAACATGCAGCTGGTGGGGGACAGGAGAGCGAGCTAAAAGATCACAGGTGGCCCTGGGAGAGGGAGAGGGATCAACCACTCAGAGACATGAAACAGGGAGTATCAACTGGAATTAGGGAGCAGCTAGTTCAGAACCAGCACAGGGAGGCTACGGGCTGCCTTGTTGGGGCCAAGGGTGCAGGTGGGTTAAAGAACCGTCAGACACATTTGTGGGGAAAAAAAAATAAACACCCCCCCGCTCCCCAAATCCGAGTATTAAGTAAAATTATGCCAATTCCAACTCAGCAAATCCCTATGCTGGAGGCTTGAAGAGTAGTCAGGAGAAGCAGCGTACAAGCCTAGCCTGGTCTCACACTCACTCTTGCTGCTGCTGACCATGGCCCCCACCAGGGTCAGGGCATTTGGCTGGAAGGACGAGGGAATGACGCAGTAGGGCCATTCTTACACTTTGCCTTGCCTGTTGAAAGTGGGCTAATAGCGTCCCCATCCCTCACTGTCTGCCACATGTCCTTAGATCATCCACTCTTTCCCCACTGGGCCTTTGAATCCTCCCTAATGAAGACCTCCAGGTGTGTGATACACAGCACTGGCAACCAAGTCAGCCCTTTTCCATCTGGGAAGGGAGGCAGATAGCATACATGAAAGACAGCCAAGGGCAAGGGGCTGATCAAGCACTCCCATGAAAACCAAGCTTGTTCCTTCTTGTCTGAATACCTGGCGCTCCCAGCAGCTGGCTGCCCTACACTGCAAGCAGATAATTTTGGTGAGGAATTCTGCTCTGGGTGTCCAGTTGACTGGCATTTCCTTTGAAATGTAGAGCAGAAGCATGAGGATGCATGGGCTCTAGAAACAAGGGGTATGATGAAATGAAGAGATGGCAAGTTCGGACAAGGGGAGAAAGAGGTTTGTTTTGGATTTATCTCCGTCAACCCTCAGAAAATGCTGCCACAGGACATTCCCGACCAAACAGCGCCCATGAATCAGCAGGGGGCAGGGCAGAAAAACAAAGACAAGAAAAGCATAAGGAGGCAAAACACTTGGGATAAAATTACAGTCTAGTAATGCTCTAGTCTGAAGGGCCATGAGTTGTGCCAAGGCAGACATGGCACCTCTCCTATTCCTGGCCCACAAGCAATGCTGCACCTGCACCCCAAAGCTCCTGATTTTGCCCCAGCTGCAGATGGGAAGCTTGGTGGGCGGCAGCTCTGCTCCCCTCCTGTGACGCTGTTTCTATGACACATCCCTGGCTGGCTTAGGCAGGAACTGTTGATAGAGGTGAATGAGGCCTCCCGTATTTTCCCAGTGGCTCAATATTTCTGTCCTCAGATGCCAGCTGCCCACTTGCCAGCTCTTGTCCTGTGGCCCACAGGAGAGATCTCACCCCTTCATCACCAGAGCAGGGAAAGTAAAATGAAATGACTTCATAGTTGCTGCAGGTAAGGACCTGCACACAGGGAGTAACCACAGAGCTGCTGACGTCTAATCCCTCATTCCTTGGTTTGGTAACAGTCTGCAGCTCTCCACATGCTCCCCTGAGAGCTCAGCACCACCCCAGGCAGCGTGGGAACCTGTATATCCAGTTGAGGACATGGAGTGTAGATGGAAGGAGGTCTGTAGGATGATGTCCTGGCTTAGACCTCATTGGAAGGTGGGGGGGGAGGGGGGGGTGTCTGGTGGTAAAGAGGCAGAGCATCCTGGTTTATGGAGGTGGGAGAAGCACAAGGGGCTGGGATCCCAAGTCAGTGAAGTGGAAAAGCGCAAGAGAGCAGGGGAGGCAGGGAGCAGGGGAGGCAAGCAGCCCAGGGCTGGACAAAAGCAGACTAGTCAGACCTCTGGGACAGGGGGCTGGCAGGCAAACAGACCCTCTTCAGTATCATTTCAGGCACTGTTGTCGATGCTCCATGTTGCCCAAGGACACGGACACACAAAGACGGGGTGCAGCTGGCCACAGACCTCCAGTTTGCCAAAGAGAGCGGCCACCCCACCAGGCCTGGCCACGACATACCTAAAGCACTGGCGGTGGTAGAGCTTGCCCTCGGCCAGGTAGCGCTGGACCAGATGGACGTGCTGCTGGCAGGCCGCGCAGGTACTGCTGAGTGTGGTGCGCTGGGACTGCTCCGATGGGTCCGAGGGGGCATCATCCTGAGACACAATGCACGGGGAGCTCAGGATGGGGGCCACAAGCTGCTCCCCAGCCCATGGCTCCTCCAGAGCAGCTGCTCCCTGTGCAAGGCCCATTGCTGGGTCCTTGTGGCACAGCTCAGGGGCTGACCTCAGGGGCTGACAATGCACAGAACAGCTGCCCCCAAGTCCAGGCACAGGCAGGCTGCCTCTTCCCAAATTAGAAGAGGCCACTCCAAAAGGTGCCTTGCCCCTGTCTAGGGCCGAAGGGCTGTGGAAGGGACTAATCTAAACCCCAGGCAGCAGGGACTTGCAAGAGGAACCCCCTCTCTTGGGAAAATGTGCCATCCCAGACATCTGCTAAAACCTGAAATAAAGGGCCAAGAAAGAAAAAGGCGTATTTTCTGCTCTTCTAATCCTACATTCCTGCTCATTCCTCACCTATGGGGTTATCCTCCCATAGGAAGGAGGGTGCTTGTGCCCTGAGTGGCTCAAGGAACCGTCTGGCACCAATCCACCCAACCTCTTGCCTGCCATGGACAAATTTCAGTCCACAGACTCCTAGAGGTAAATCACTCCCTCAGCTGGGTCCCCCAAGGCACCAAAATCCCAAACACCCCTCCCACCCCAAAATACATAGGTAACCCCCTGCAAAGATCCATCCCGCTGTGACAGGCTCCCTCCTGTCTCCTCACCCACAGCACAGGGAGCACCACTGCCTCAGGCTGGCTTTGAATCAAGAAATTAGGTACCTGTGGTGCTGGGGGATTCTCGACCGCAGCCACGGGCTTCTTGTGGGACAGCAGAGGAGGCGAGGAGGCAGCAGCTGGGCGCTTCATAGGCGGAGGGACTCTGGCTGGAGGCAGAAGGCAAGGAGGATCAGACACCGAGAGGAGCAGTGACTCACACCACCCATGTGGGGGAAGGGGAGGGGAAAAAAAAAGAAAAAAAAAAAAGTCATCTAGCCTTGTGACATAGGACGGGACTTGCTGCTCCCGACACTTCAGTGCCTAGTTTAGGTGGAAGAGACAAACACAACCTAATAATGGGACGGCTGCGAGGCTGCCAGAGAGGCTAGCCCTGCTGTGGATCCCCTTCTGTGGCCCAGGGACACCAGCCTCTCACTGTGATTTGATTTACTCATCAAATGCTGCTTGGCTTCCTTGTAACCAACTCCCTAAGCAATGCTTAAAGCCCTGAGCACCCTGGGTAGCTGCTGACGTATTGTTGTGACCCGCTGGGCCCCAGGGCTTCCGTGCTGTCAGCAGGTCTGTGATGCATCCCTCGCCCGTCAGGGCTGGCACTCACACACCAGTCCCCAGCGGGAGTCCTCAGCTGGGAGGCCAGCATCCCTGGAGAAGTATATGCACATAAAAGAGATTTATCTGATGTTGTGACTAGAGAGCAGAGCAGAGGAGACCTGGAGCCCTCATCTCCACCCAGGAGGGATGCCTTGGACAAGCTGTCTCAGAGCAGCACTCAAGCTCAGGTTGCAGTTGCAAGGACAGATGAGCTGATTTGAGACACTCCACCCTGGCTTGCTTCCCTCCCTCTGTCCTCCAGTCACTTTACACTTACTGATGTGATAAAAACTAGCTGGGGTAGGCAGGTTGCCTATCTAGCTTTCTCCCATTTTAGTGGGTTAAAGCAGATCACAAAGGGGTCTGATGACCACCAGGGGTGGTGGCCCAACCCAAGCAGCAGGAATGCAGCGCAGAGGGAGAAGAAACAAGGCGTTCCTCCTTCCGCAGCCGGAGCTGTTAAATCACTCCCCACCTCTTGTGAAACCTCGCCCTACTCCACTCCCTGTTGCAGGCCTTCCTCACCTGCACCAGCAAGATCCAGGAGAGGCAGGCACTACCCACTCCTCTCCCCTTCCCCACAAACACACACAGCTCCCATTTGCCATAGGAAGGAGGAAGCACAGGGTAATGCTGGGTGTCCTGTACTCAAGTGGGGGCAAACTGGAAGCCAGAGGGGTGGGAGGACACTCACCTTGGCTGGGGTTGTTGAAATGGTTGTAATACTGAGACACATAAGTCATGATGCTGAGGCAGTCGGGGACTTTCATGGAGACCATGTCATTGGGATCTAGCAGGGCTGGGATGCCCAGCTCCCGCTCCGCCAATTCAAAGGCCTGCAGGAACAGCAGAGAGGCATTAAGGAGAGAAAACTGATGCTCTCTGAAAAATAACACAGAAATCAAGTTGGAAGGACCCTGGGGAAGGTTAAGTAATAAGCCTATGGCATCCCTGATGGACAGAGGCTCCCAGACATGCCGCTTGACTGGAAAGCTGGCACGAGAAGCAAGGGAACAGGTTGCTGCAGCTGTCCTTTCCTCCAAGTCATTTCAGCTGCCTGTGTCCCTGCAACTCCCACCTGAGGGGTCTTGGCGTTCGGCTGCTGCACTGGGAAAGGGAGGGTAACTCTCAGGAGGTCTCAGTTTTCATTGGAAAAAAAACCCAGTGTTTTTGCAGCCCCTGAAATGGGCACACCACCCTCACGCAACAACACAGCAGAGCCTTGGTGGACACCGTGAAGGGCCTAGAGCTGGCAGATACTTCCAGCGACACAGCCAACCACCAGCTCTGCTGAGCAGTGTCCCTGGCCACCCCAAATGCTCACCCCACAGAAACACAGACTCTGCCCATCCTTTCATGCTCTGGGGTGCCACATCTTCCCTTCCCACAGTTAACATAGCCACCCCAGCTCAACAGCCAGCAGCCTGTCATGCGCAAGCCACTTCAGTACTTTTCTGTGTCTCAGCAAGCAGAAATGACAAAGACATTGTGGTAAGAAGCACACAGCTCCTACAACTACATACACAGCTACTTGAAAGGAAGGAGTGAAGGAGGAAAACAGCTGTTTGAGAGCTTCCCACTTAGCAACGTATGTGGATTACTGGCTATAGACTGGCCATCCCGCTGTTGTGCCAAGGGCAGTGTACCCACATTGATCTCCAAGGGAGGGGGAATGCGAGACTACGGCAGGGACTGAAGAGAAAGCGAGTCAGGAGGAAGGGATGAGAGTGGTGTGGGCACTGAATGGTGAGGTACCAGGTGCAGGGTGTGGGTAAAGACTGAAGGTGCCTGGTCTCTGGGGCACAAGATGCTGTACAGGGTGTAGGATCTAAAGAAAAGGAATGGAGAGATAAATGAAAACAGGTATTTGCAGTAACTGGGGGTGTAAAATGCACCCTGTGGACACCCAGCTCTGGTCAGCCTGGCTTTAAGCCGGTTCTCTGAACTGAGTCTTGCTGAACACAAGGGTGCAAGCAGCAGGGAGCAAGAAGAGACCCCAGCTTAGGGGTCCCTAATGGGACAAGAAACCCATGGTGTGGCTCTCAAATGAGAAAAGATAGCTGCTAATGGCTGAAAGGCGCCAACAGGTCTAGGAAAGGGCATGGCCAGGACCCAGCTGGAGATCCCTAATCCTGAAAACCCAAACAACCTAGCTCAACTCGTCTTGGGAAGCTGATGGCCGATGTCTCTCCATGGACCATCAGATAGAGCCTGCAGCAATTAGGTCTTTCTCTCAGAAAAAAACCCAAGCCTATTGCTGCTCTGTCCTACCCCTAGCCCGTGAGGTTGGGCATCTCCCCATTCCCCACTGCCTGCTTCTATTGTTGGCTCCAGCTGTCCCAAGCAGGAGGGGAACATTGCAGATCAGCCTAGGTCCAGCATGACTTTCCTCTCTGCTTATGCCTGGAGTAAAACTAGCTTCCTGCTTCCATTGCCTGCAAGTCTGGAACAGCTGAGGTCAAGAAGATGTTGCACCATTTTAATCTTCACCTGAGATGTTGTCTTGGCAACTATCAGGATAACCATCTTATCTTCTCTTCAGTACATGCTGGAAGCTGATGTTTCAGATTCCCTTATGCTTCCAGAGAAGCTCCTGCTTGTTACTTACAAGCACAGATTTTTCTTACACCCTCGCCACCATCATGAAGTCCTCCCACACTACGTGACCTCCATCAAGTCATTCTCACGTCCCTTCTTCCTTCTGTGCACTGCATAACGGGGACTTACCAAGCGGTTATTCTCATAGACGTCATCCTTGGAGAGAGAGTCAAAGTCTCTGAAATGAGAAAGCACAAAAAAGCCACATAAGGTACAGAGGAAAAGTGCCGCAATGCCACCACACGCAGGTTCTCAGGACAGCCAACCTTACAACAACTCAATATATAAGACCCTAGATAAACAAAACCTTGGCAAAGCAGATTTCAGGTTGTAAAGGGACAAAGAAACCAAGGGAAATTGCAATTAAAAAAAGAAAGCAAGTCCCAAATGGGTGGTGACCAGGAAACTAACATGTCATTCTTGTCTCTCGTTACCCACTTCTGCCCTTGCAATTAAAGGCTGCAGAAATACCAGGGCCATGTTCTGATTAGCACCACATACCGCTGCACTGAAGTGTTGCACGACATCACCCCAAACTTGCCCCTCCAAGGCCACCAGCACAACAGCAAGAGGAGGATGGGGAAGCAGATCCCCCACCTCAAGAGAAAGAGCCACCTGTGCTAGATATCTCCCTCCTATGAGGGTCCTTAGACAAATCTCCCTGCACCACCTTAAGGGATTTGAGGTCACCCCAGGATTTGGGGGTGACAAAGGTCTTAAACTGCACTTCTGTCCTCACTGGCCCCCCAACACTCGCCGTACACAGCAAACCATCCTCGGCCACAGCCTTTACAGTGAGGCAACTTGCTGAATGCAAGGCGCTCAGGGCAGAGAGAGAAACCCCAGCAGTTCCCAACTCGGGCACTTTGTGGCATCTCACTTGTTCCCCTGGATCCCTTTGGGGGATAAAATCAGCCCAGCCACAGGGATCAACTAGCTGTCTTCATCAGAAGAGCTGAGGGTAGAGGGTTAAAGCAGTCTGCAGGTTTTCAATAGAGGGCAAGAAATACAGGAAGGAGTTAGTTATGTCTTTTGCACATGCGCGTGGGTATAATGTGTGAAAACAGCATCACACCAAACTGATTACAGCCTCTTCCTGCCAAGGATCTCAGCTCTGTTACCAAAAAAACCTCATGCAGCAGCTTGGTGTGCCTGCGAGCTGGATTCACAGAGCACACAGCCCAGAGAGGTTTAGGGTCAAGCGAAGCCATCCCAATGGCCCAGAGAGAGGTGCAAAGCTTGGCAGACCAACCTAGAAAGACAATTCAGATTAGAAGGGGCAAGTGTATCCCCTGCCCCAATGGTGGTGTGCAGGAATCGGGCGAGACGGCAAATCCTCAGCCATGTGCCCGTGGAGAGGGGCTGCAGGAGCCTCCCTTCCTCCATCCCCCTTTGGATTTTATTGCCTTTTCCTGTAACACTGACCCAACCCACCCCAGCGCCGCACCGCAGGTCAACCGGCCCCTTCTCGAAGCCCCTCTCCCAGTGCTGCAGAGGAAGTCCGTGATGAGCTCAGGAAGATTTTCCCAGCTGCCTGCGCCACCATAAAATTACACTTCCTCCGTTCAAAAGCAAGAGGCTGCTGGTGCAGTTTCCTCTCAGATAAATGAAACTGCAGCAGCTCACTGCTGTGGGAGCAAATGCAGCACTCATGCAGAAGATGGGCTGGACGTTCAGCTCTGTGCAAAGCACCTTTCTGAAAGCTCATGCAAATACATGCACAGAACTCAGCCTGTTCAAAATACCGCAACTTTTCCCTCTCTACACGCTGCTGAGAAAAGGCTTCAGCTGCAGCCTTCGCTTTGATGTGAAAACTAGTGCCTTTTTTGTATTTATGACTAGTTTCCACTGGGAGATGTTTTTTCCCTAAGTCATTTTTCTTTGCCTAGAGAACTCCTTTAACCTTGCTGTATTTTTTTTTTTCCCCTTTAAAGAAAATACCAGCTTGGGAACACAGGAGAAGTGATGACAGCAAAGTTGATATATCAACTGCCCTCTAAACATTCATGACCTTCATTTTGAATGCCCTTACTTTCAGGATATGGGAGTGGTGCAGCTGGAAGCTCAAAGACTCCTTGGTGGCCTGGGCTGGGATAGTATTTTTTGATGGGCAAAATATCATGTCCGTTCCACTCTGCCCCAGCAAACCAAAGCTGTTCTAGTAAACCAAGGCAAATCTGCCTGGGAAAGCGGATGCCAGCAGAGAGGATGTGAAGCTCAAGAGGTAACGGGGGTGGGGGGGGGGGCGGGGTACCAAGCAGCAAGGGAACAGAAGATTTTTTCCACTAACATAGGACTGTAGGACTGCAGACTCTCAGCTTTTACCTGAGATACTGAAGCCCCTCAGTACGAGGCCCCAGAGATCACAGTTTACACAGTTCCTTTCCACTGCATTTTCCAGCTCCTTCTCTGAACAAGCCAAGCAGGACCATGCTGATCTCCATCACTCCTGACACGAGCACTCCCACATGCCACTCTGTCGTGTGGCATCCCTGCGGCTCCGGGCACATTCCCTGTACCAACGTGCAAGGAGCACAGCCTCTCAGGCATGGGGGAAAGTCACCCCAGACATACCCCTTTCCTCTCTATAAACTGCCTCCTCTGCAGAAAGACCAGAACTTGCCATCTTGGAGCTCCATGACATGTGGCTGCATGTCACGTTATTTCCTTGCCCTGATCTCAGCAGCCTTTCATCCAGCTCTGCTCAGGCTCCTCTCCTGATGACATACCAGTCCAAGGGATCGGATGTAAGAATAGGCGAGACTCTGGCTATCCCAGCTGAACAACTGTCTTGACTCAGCAAACCCCAGCGTCGTAGCATATCCTGGAGTAATATTTCCATGCAAATAACATCCCAAGCGCTTACCTAATTAGATACATACAGAGCCACTAAGCACTCCGGGGTTTAGGGCAGCTGCCAGGGAGCAGAGCAGACCCAGGGAAGGGGGAAGGGTGCACCATACAGCTTGAACCAGAGCAAATTCCTGGATTCCTCAAATATAAATCATGAGCACTTTAACGGCAGTGCCGCATAATAAGCCCTTCAGCTTTCTAGGTCTTGTCAGGGAAACGTGGGCAGTACATAGGAAGGAACAAATGAGATTTGTGATCCTGCCTGTAACCGAACCCATGGCTCTAGGGACACAAAACAACGTTTCTAATGCATGGCTCTCATCTCCTGTTTTCCTCAAGCCTCCATCTCTCTCAGCACTCAAAAAGCATGTGCCATGCTCTCTTATTCTTCTCGCCCCTGAATGCGTATGCCAAGAACCTCCCCTGAGCTTCGTGGAGGCTGCACAGCTTGGGACGCTGAAAGATGCTTTTTGCTTCACTAAGCTGTGGCAAATGCCTTGTAAACATTAATTTCGTGCTTTAGATTTCTAAAGCACTGAGCAAACAAACTCATTAATCCCCACAGTCCACTGTCAAGTTGGCCTGGATGCTTCCAGCTTAACTGACAAGGGAAAAGAAGAGATTAAATGTCTCTCCTCAAGATCACACAGCCAGCAGCGCAGTCAGAAGCTAAATCCAGGTTGCCCATTTCCCCGATTGGGAGAGAGGCAGTGAAACCAAGTGAAGTGTGTACACCAGCAGAGCTAGAGTCAGGGACTTTCAGCTTCATGGTTCTACACACAGGTCCCACAGGTATGCATGTCATACTTGGTGGTCAGTTCAAGACACCTTTAGCCGGAGTCAGTAGACACCAAGCACTTCCAGTCTACTTCTTTTAAAAAAAAAACCCAACAACAACAAACCAAAAAACCAACCTCTAGTGTTTCCAAGGGCTCCGCAGGAGCTGCTCCAAAGCTCTCCAGGGGAGCATCCCTCTGATGCCACCTGCCTTATCCCAAGGTGGCTGTGTTCAAATCAGGAGCCCCATGGAAAACTGTCCTCAGCCTCACTTATCCGTACGGCCTTTCATGACAGCCTCTTCCCCAGCACATCACCTACCAGCACAGCAGCGCAATGGTGGGGCATCTGGGCAGGGTCAGACAACCAGGACAGACCAACAGCCACCACAGCAGCAAAAGAGAGCCCCAAGGATTAGGGTGCCAGAGGAGTTGGTGCCATACAAGTAGAGAAGAGAGCTCTAGCTCAGCTCTTGTATGAATGTGCTCGTTCCTCTCCTCTGTGACCCAAGGGGAAGGCAGCAGGAAGCAGGGAAGCAGCTGAGTACGGAGGAACTTCAGCCTTCAGGGAGCCGTGCGGCCGTCTCATGCGGGCCAGGAGAGCCCCGCACAAAGGAAGACCACGCGAGGTCAGAAACGTACTCGCAGGTCCCTGCCAAGTTCCATTATCAGCCTGACTGAAAGCACTTCAGAAGAAGAGAAGGGCAACCACTTTTCCTCTGCCGTCAGACGATTTACTGCCTCTGATCCAATCTTCCCACTTCTAAATCGGGACAGGCTGAAGCAGCTGGAATCAGATGAAATGATGCTACACTCCTGACCACCCTCTGGAAATCCTTCTACAACATGCCATGTCCTTGTAAGGCCCTAGGCTTTGTCTATACAATACAGCTTGTGCAGAGGACCTGCGAAGCATTTAGTTAGGACATCTGCCAGGAGTAGATTTAAGCCCACTGACAACTTATGAGCTGCGACTGCTGCTTAATGGGATGGTAAATATGGTTAATGGGAAAGCATCAGGTAGTTTTAGTGGTGTTTATCGTAAGCTTTTGCTGAACCTCTGCTTTTCAGTTCCCAGTTACTGTGCCACTTACCAAAAAAAAAAAAAAAAAAAAAAAAAAAAAGAAAAAATTTCAGAAACACAGTAATTGCAAGTGTTCCTGTCCTTAATTTGCCTCTTCCCCTCCAGCAGCTTTGCGACTGGGAGCATTTTCAGAGGCTCTATCCTAGTTGGTCAGAGTAAGCTGTACTACCCAGGAGCTGCCGTGATAAGACCACGCAGCTCCCTCAAGACCCAGAGTGATGCAAAGCCACTGTACATCTTGGCTCTCAGTGGTTCCCAAATGCCACACTGAGGGTTTTGTGGCAGCCACCTGAAACACAGCAGGCAGCAGTTTGCTTTCTAGCCTATCTGTTCAGCTTCTTCCTGTAAGAACACAAGCCTGTTTTGCCCTCTCATGGACACCACAGCTCCACAGCAGAGTCACTGTCAACCCTCCGCCTGCTAGAGGTTGCTGTCGTGACATAAGGCTGTCCTGGGGCCAGCTTAGAAAAGGGGATTTGGTCAATTCAGGCAACCTCAGAGGAAGAGCCACCAGTCCCGGAACAGAACATGACAGGGGACACACTGCTGGGCTTTGCTGGCAGGCAAGGAGCACGTGCATGCCAGAGGCACGGCAAGGTGGAGCGATGCCTACCTGCACTGCGAGGGCTACGAGGGCTACGGAAGATTAGAGCAGACAGGAGGCGGATTCCCAGCAGTGCTGGGGCATGCAGGGTTACCGTGGCAGGTCAGGGCAGATTCCTTCCAGTAGCTCAGCCAGTTTCTCCAGCCTGACACCGTGCCCCCAAGCAATCCCGAACTCACCAGCTGCCTCTTGAAACTCGCATTCCCCCTCAGAGTTGCCCTGCAAAAGGGAGGCTGACGGAGGAAACTCAACTCCCAGCCATTTGCCAGGGGAGGCTAGCCAGGCTCGATATCCCTGCTGGTATTTACCACCTCCTGCTTTCACTATGGCATCCACAGGAAACAAGCTGGAAGCAAACGCAAGAAGCAGCCTGGTCCTAGGCTCTGCGTGTGTGTTTTGGAGTGGCTGCCGCTGGCAGCCAGGAATGTCCCTGTGCCAGGCAGGTCCTTGGGAAGTGGGAATGCCCACCTCCCGCAGAGGTGAAACACCCCCACGGCCAGCTGCCAGTGCCATGCCTCCTCCCTGGCAGGCACCGCTCCCAGTGGGGTGTACGGACCTAGCCCACCTCCACGTTCTCCTCGGCCTTAAACCACACGACTCCTGCTAACCCTGACCTTGGTGGGTCTGCGAGCCCGGGTCAGAAGGTCGCTCACCGGAACATGGCAACCTTCGTCCCGGTACCCAATTATTTTGGAAGGTGACAGAACTGGGCTCTCTGCCCCTGAACCCCCTCCACAGTGCGCACAGGGAGGCTCTGTCCCTCCCTGCCAGCCAGCCTGGAGCCGTTCCCTACGGCACCTCCATCCCCACCTTCCCTGGGTGGGGGAGCTCCCTGCGAGCCCCCCCCACCCGCCCCGGCAGAGCTGCAGAGGGGCACGACCGGCCCAGCCCCTCCAGAAACGCGGCTCCCAGCTCCCCCCCGCACCTCCCTTCCTCCTCCTCCTGCCCTCAGCGACCGCAGGCCGGAGCCGGACCCCGCGCCGCCCCGTCTAGGCGCGGCGGGGGGGGCGAGGCGAGGCCGGTGCCGCGCGGCCTGCACCCCCCCGCCTCTAAACCCCTACACTCACAGGAGATCGGGCCGGTGGCGGTGGAGGATAGCGCAGAAGGCTAAGCCGTCGCGGAAGGAAGAGCTCAGATCGCGAATCTCCACCCCGCGGTCCCCCTCGCACTGCCGCCGGCACCAGGCTTGCAGGGCGACCCGCGGGCCCGACA